ATATATATATATATATATATATATAGTAATATTTAACCAGTAATTATTTACTATGATAGTGGGCTGACTTCATTTATAAGAATTATTTTCATCCGAATCTAATATATTGCATATTTAAAGAGATTCATTGTGAATATATTATTAAATGTTTCTTGTAGGCCCATGTTTCTAAACTTTGTTACAGACACAATAGTTAAAAAGTATTCAATTTTGACGATAAATAAAACAAAATTTGACAACTTGCATTAAATCTTTCGATACATTAGTCTTAAAGAAATTAAACAATTTCAAAAAATGGTTAAAACTTTAATTGTTTAAATAATTCAAGTTCAATTTTAAAAGGTGTTATTATAACTTTTTATTCTTTTTCACCATTGAATTAAAAAAATATTTATATTAAGAGCATTTTACAACTTTCATTTGGAAATTCATTTTTTTAAGATGCATAATTGTTTTATTCAAGAAAAAAGTTAATAACATTATTCATGTAATAAAAAAAGTATTTTGCGAACATTTCAGTAATGAGAACAATAAATATGCAATAAAAGTATTTTTATTAAAAATACATCATAATCCAATTTTTCAGTGCTAATTCTAATACAAAGAAAAATATGACACACAACTATGTTAAAGCTATTTCAATGCATAGAAAGAATTTTCAAAACATGCATCATATTGCATAGTGTTTTCCAAAGGCATAAACAAGGCAGATTTGCAACTACTTTAAGTTTCGATGACAATTGTCTTGATAAGTACACATATATTATGAATAGTTCATAACATCTATAAATATGTTATAGCTAACTCCAGTCTCTCTTTCACTTCTTATGTAACTATGCGTAACTCGCAAGAACAAAATGTATGTTTAATAAAAAAAAATTTCAATGGATATGTATACATCTAAAAAATTAACAACTTTTACAACTGAAGGAAATTATTTTTAAAATAAATAAATGTAAGCATAAATAATATAACTATCATAAAAAAACAAGTTTTTATTTAGTTTCTTAACATAATGTAAAGGAAAAAATTAGATATAGTTGAATTTTAAAAAAAAATTGAACAAAATTTAAATTTTAACACGAATCAGACATGAAATTTTTTTACAATTAACACAGATACATCAATATTTTTTATGTCAAGAAGACTTCTAACTTATTAGAACAAGTATCACAAAAGTTTTTAATTTTTATGTATCAGTTAATAACTTGTCTTATGACTAACACTCATTTGTAAAATCCTACATAGTTAACAGATATGAAAAAATGTTTCCTCGAATCTACAAAAGAATCCACAGTGGTTATGAAAATTTAATGAGATACCAGAATTTTAGATTACATGTAACCAGGATATTTAATCTTTAGAGCAATTAGACTATATATATATATAATTTAGTCCAATAAAATTTAACAAAACAATCATTATGATAAGAATGTGCAATACAATAATAACAATTAGACCTGTTAACATCTGGAAAAATCTACTCTACGAAAGAATTAAGTATACTTTTCCTTTTGAGAGGCTTTCTCAAAAACTTTTTATCTCGCCTGCTTACATATGAAATTTAAATGCTGCAAATAACAAAAGCTAAGTATCTTGATTCCAATCACGCAGGCTTTAATTAATCCCTTCTTGTTTTGGTAAACCTATAATATTCACATAATCTTGAAATCAAAATTATCAAATCACGTAAAATCGTGTAGTCCTCAAATTCTGAACCTAAAAAGTTTACTAATAAGATGCTTAACATCGCTGCATACTTGCATACATTTGCAATACTGCTGGATAGATATACACAACAGTTAATCTGAAAATAAAATATTATTCTTATTTAAAGTTAAAATAATTCATTCAAAACATCTAAACACATGCATATCATATAAGAATAAAAACCTTATACCAAGTTAAAATAGAAGAAAACTTCAAATATTTTAAGTGCTTAAAATATGGTGCTCTTTGTTAAGATTAATGATGAAAATTTATCATCGATTTTTATAAATTGTTTCAGTTCTGTTCAAAGATAAATCACATTACTTTGAACGACATACTTACATACAATTTCTTACTGCATTTGTTAAATGTTAAAATAGTGAAATTCATACTTTTTTCAAAAAATCCAGAATCTAAAATTTATTGAGATTTTTCTTTCACAAAATAATTCAAGAGCTTTGAAAATTTTAATAACACATCCAGTATAAAATAAGACTACAATTTAAAGTCAAAAATATTTTATACACTTAGTGGCCAATCCCTCAGACACAAACTCTAACAACTAAAAAATCTCAATTAATTCCTGTCTTTATCAAATTAAATGAATAAAAGGGAAACGAAAATTTTGAAGTGATGAAGCTATGTAAATGTTGACTACTCTGGACCCACTTGAAAATAATTATTTAATGAATGATCTAATATAATATTTGTGGTACTGATGCATATGTAGCAAAAACATCATCTGCTTGCCTATGATGAAAACGATGACACTTTCACTAGCGAAGCAATTAATAAGAAATAATATTTTTTTTTGTTTTTGAGTAAAAATTTGGACAATGTTCAGTTGGTCTTAATAAATCAGCAAGAATTCAAAAGATTTTTGCTTCAAGTTCAGAGGGCGGGAAATGGAGCATGAAATCACATATCATTTGCAAAATGTGGTAGAGTTTCACACATGAGTGTAGGATCTTTCCCACCAAACCCATCTCAGTGTCAGGGCTAAAGAGAGAATAGAAGGGCTAGGTCACTCCTTTGAAGAAACGTTTGCCACTCCGAGAATTCAATTTCAGTCAGTGACCTCACGGCGGTACTGCATCAACTTCACTTTAAAAACAAAGTGCTTCGCATATAACTAGCATTCTTTATTGTAACTTTTTTCAAGACATTCATTGTTTTCCATAATATATATTTATACATTAGTTTACTTTGGGGGGATTTTCTTCTCCTCTGAATTGCAAAATTTTACCATAATAGTCAAATATCAGCTTGCGCGATTACGATCAGAAAGAATTATAATAAAACAGAAAATGAGAAAATGCAAATTTCCATTTGTTACCTCAGAGAATATAAAAGGGACATCAAAGGAATTATAAAATGTATTAGAAGAATTATACTGCTGTGAATAAAAAAGTATTATGTTTAATCAGTCATTTAAGAACTTTCATTAGAATTTAGCCATTTAAATCAATACTGTCTCGTAACTTCAAACAGAAAAGAAAACAAAATGTATAAAGTCAAAGAAAATAAAATTCTGAACTTCAAAAATAAAAGATATTAATGCTTAAAAATGCTTCCAATTTAAAAATCTAATTTTTAATTATGATGCTTTAATTTTAAATATTTAAAAGCAATTGAAATATTTCCATTAATAAATGTCCAGAGATTATTTTTTTCAGTAATTAACAATTATATTTGTTGATTCTTAGTGATAATGTCTAAGAAAATTTTTTTATTATATATAAGAAAATATTTCAAAATTAGGCATCCCAATTTATAAGCTATTGTTGACAAACAATATGTAACTATAAAAGTGTATTTATATGCTTTCTTTTATTTAACAGTAAAAGTTAAAAAGTAAGATTAGAAAACAATATTAAAAAGATAGCGACAACCATTAAGATGTTCTTCTAACTTTAAAATGTTATTTCTTAATACTGTTAGGAATACCAAGAAAATGCCTGGTTACTATATTTCTGAACAGAAATAATTTGTTATCAGTGTAGAGTTTGTCAGTTATTATCAAAAAAATGTGAAAAATTCAACTCATTTTTTACAGAAAGTATAACAGTTAGGTTTTCATATCCTTTAGTGATTTTTGAGATTTGTCTACGGGGTGACGTCATGAGGTTGGGTTGAGCTTAGAGTAAGGAACAAACCAACCCTTCTCTTTTGCCCTGGCTCAGTGTATGAGCACACAGATCCACCTGTAATTCATCCAAACTACAAAATGATTATCACTTTCATACAATGTGGGTTATGGTATACCGACATGGAAAGATTCACTGAATTGTGAAATGTTTGAACGGAAAATTATGCTAACGACGCTTTTTCCATAAATCTGGAGAGCAATCGGCATGGCAAAGAAATAATCTCAATTTCTAAAAGATAAAATTAAGCACTTTTAAGAAACACTGAATAAAAAAAACCTTTAAGGACTTTTAAAAAAACAAAAATCAAAAATAAGCATCTTTAAAAAACACTAAACACTCTGAAAGGAGTTTGTGTGCTCAAGTAGTAAATTTCTGTGTGCAAGTAGTAAATTTTAAACTTCACTATTTCAGGAATTATTCATTTCATGATTATTAAAAGTAATTTAAGGGTAATTTTAGAAGAAACAACAAAATCTTCCCTCTTATGAGTTCTCATAAGAGAAGAGATTCTTACCTCCTAGGAGATTTTAGGGATAAAGGATGAGTTTCTTTATTCCATTGTGTTATAATCCACTTTTGCAGCGTTGTAAGCTCGATGAAATGAGAAACCCAGGAGGACTAGTAAAGTAATCAGAGCAAGTGTGCAACCTACTGCAAGGGGTACTGTTTCATCTTGCACGTAAGGTGTTTCATCAATAACAACTTTATTGCATCTTTGAGCTAAAAACATCAGAATAGCATTTATTAAGAAGCAACAAAATAAGCTTTAAAATATATAAAGCAATAAAATAAGTATAAAGCGATAAGTTCAATCAAAAATACATTCAGTGTCAAGCTAACTCTTATGTTGGTTGATATTAGAATATTAATATTTACACAGCATAAAACAATTTTTAACCAATTTTATTAATTTACATCGTTTTTAAATTACAGTGACCTCTCACTTATGCACCACCTCTTTTATGCACCTTTTTCATTTATACGACGATTTTTATAGGCCCCAGTACATTAGATAGGAAAATAATCATAAACATCCTTCGTTTATGCGCCGCTCTATAAGTCAATTTTTCAATTATGCGCCGAAATTTTAGGCTAACATTTTAATTTTTTAACCTTTTAAATATTTTTTCTTATTTAAAAAAAATGTTTTAAATTAAAAATTAAGCAATCCTTGTTACAGATGAAAAGAAACATATGTTGTTAGATTCTATTGAATTTGCTTCCCCCTGTGATCTTTTCATTTTTGCTGTTTCTGGAAAGACATTCTTTCTAGAAGTTTGAATAGGGGGTCTTATCTGTTACACCAACAATGAAAGCCCATTCATCTTTCAGAAAATGACCATTCATCTTGTCCAGAGGTTAGTTTTACTCTCATGCTGTTTTCTAGAGAAAAAAAAGACACCTGGAATACGAAAGATGAAAGAGACCGCGATCACTTACTTGCAGTCAGATGGACATTATAAGTAAATAAATGGAGGTGATCTGTTTAGTGACATTAGTAATCGAACAACTTATTGTGCAGCATATTATGACGTCAAGTACTTTTCTTAGAAATTTATCATGTGGTGGTTTCACCCCCTCCCATAAAACTCAAATTTTTTGTGAAGAAGTGTTCATTTATATCTAACTAAAACTTGTGGACGATGAGAACGTGGTGGATGATACTGACGAGGATGATAAAGTTCCTCCAAATCACACAAGAGTATTTGAAGCTTTAGACACTATTCGTGATTATTTACAATTTAATTTTGCTTCTGAAACTCCCCCTTTCCCATTTATATGAACTGGGGGAAACTGTTTTTGAAATATGTCGGCAAAAACAAATACAAACATGTATTAAGATTATTTTGTAAGGAAATAAATTGCCTTAAGGTATGTTAAATTTTTTCTTTGTATAATTATAGTACTAAATACCAAAACAGTATAAATATTAACATCTAATCTTTAGAAACATATTTATTCATATTGTCACTGCAATTTACATTGCGTTTTAGAATTTTGAAGTTTTTCACTTGTACGCCTCTTTCACTTATGCGCCTTTTTCTCTTGGCCCCTTACACCGGTGCATAAGTGAGAGTTCACTGTAATAAATAATTTTGTTACAAGATACTAACAATATGATAAAAATTAACATTTATTGTAGTCAATATAATCAAGATAATTTTCTAATATTTGTTATAAAACTTAATATTCACGATATTTCGTGAATTAATTTTTTAAATATCATTAGCACAATATCTCAATAATATGAATATGAATAATCATGATACAATTATACTAATAACACCCAGCTCAGCAATTTTAAATATATATATTCACACTTAAGCACTAAGTTAACCAACTAATTTAGATATCAGAGTCAGAAAAACTAAATTGTGCAAAACAACACACTTTAATAAATAAGAATGTAACAAATTTAAATTGTTTTAAAAACTAATATAAAAAAACAGGAGGGCATTAAGATCCAGTGAACCCTAGTGCAAAAGAATAATTAAGACAAAAAAAATAATTATCTAGCAGACAAAATTAATTACAAAGACATAGTTTTTTTGCTAGATAATTAAAAATTTTCCAATAAAGTTATTTTAATTTTCAAAGATTGCTACTCAAACAGCGTTAACTTTTTTATTAAACTAAATAAAAATTTATTAAGTAATGAAATATATGAGTTTATAAATGTAATATAAATTACAGGAACAAAAAATTACATAACTTTGTTTCGTAAAAGTAATTGAGTCTAAAAAGGGGTTAAAATTATATCTAAATAATATTCAAAAGCCACTGCTGTTGAAATTGTATTTATTCTTTAGCAATGTACAAAAAAGAAATTTTCTTAGTTATGCTTTTTATTATTTACTAGCTGAATACCCCTTCCTATGAAATGGGGGGGGGGAATAATAATCTATAGATCTGCACTGAACAATAGTAAGAAATCTTTCACAAAACTGAAAGACACATACCAATACAATTAAAATGCTAAAATAATTCCAAATTTCTTATTCAATATAACATCTTACTGTGTCCTTTCTGATTGATTTTCATTATCAATTGTGCAACAACATATATTTAGTAGTTCATCTCATCAAAACAATAATTAACTTTATTCAGTATTTTCTGGCAATTCATGATAGTCAAAATTAACCACAATCAAGCAATTTTCTCTGCAACTCATTTTATTCAAGAGACAATAAAAAAAATCTCCACAATATCTATATTAAAACTGCACAGCATTGACACAATTTTAACTGGTATAACAATGCTTAGATAATATATTGTACCTATATTAGTATATATGGTGCCTATTCAAACTGCAACGATTTTCATAATAACTAGTAGTGGCTATTACCAAAATTAATTACAGCATCATTGGCACCAATAATAGTATGGTGATTTTTTATATTTCTCCTAAGAGAATTAGTACAATTTCTCCATTACTTTTACTTTTTATAGTTGCATAGCCAAATTTTTGAACAAAAAATACACACTTTTTAAGCACACAAAATAATTCTTCAAGCACTTTGAAAAAATAATATAATTAGGATATGCGCACGAATGAAAATTTTCTCTCGAAAGTTCTTCATATATACATTAACAAAAGGCAAAATAATTTTCAAAGACTACATATTCATGATAAAATAATTAGTTTCTGACAAACAACTCTTTTCTTAAATATATTAGCCACCATAAAAACAATTTATACACAATTTTAAATTCATTCAATATTGAGTGGCTCATTCTATTTTTTAAATCAAAAATTACTTTATTTAATTATGCAAAAACAAATTCAATTTAAAAATTCAATTCAATTAAAATTACAATTAATTTAGTTATTATTTAGAAAGGTTATGGAGAGTATTTTTTAAATTTGAACAAGTTATTAATAAAAGCATATTCAACAAAACCTTAACAAGATTAATATTATTGATCAAACCGAATTTATAAAGATATATAAAGAATTAAGCACACTAAGACAACTTGAATAAATTCATATTACAAACATAAATTAGTGAATGGCCCCTAATAAATTTTTTGAAAGTTTATTACTTGTTAAGGTTATTACTAGTTTAAGTTTTCTACTTTTGTGTTTGCCTCAGTAGCTCATTAATTCGAACTAAAGTTTGGAATAGTTTTTTTCAATCTCCTATTCTTCTCCAAATTTGCATTAAAAAAAACTGGTATCGCGCATAAATGAGAGCTTAGATGGGAAAAAAGAGGGTGCTGGTAAGGGAGGAACAAATGTCCCCTTAACGATATTTTGTGTAAGTAACGATATTTAATTTTAGATTAGTGGAACTTTGAGAAAATTTTGTCGAACATAAATTATTGATTCGCGGAAATCCGCTAAACAATGGTCTTGAAATTCACTGAATTCCCAAAATTCACAGAAGAATCATGAGCCTGATTATATTATTTTAAAAAGAGGGGTTTCCAACAACTAAAATTAGATAAATACCAGGAGAGAACTGTCCATCTTCAACTCCATATGGTTGAAGATAAATATCCTTCAACCTAGCGGTAACTACATGCTTTTCATGGACATACATTTTCACCACCTCTTCACCAGGGCAATAGAATGATTTTGATAGAGGAGTTTCGAACAAACTGAGAGGTTGGCTCCTAGCAGTCTTTTTACCAGCTAAAATTCAATACATGTTTTAATAAATACAAGATTAACAATAACTTTCAAAGCATAAAAATTACGAACACAAATCTTAAAGAGTAGGTAATGCTAAATTAACTTACCACCACTAACGTAACGAATTATATGCAATTAAAACTAAAAATATCTACACATAAATATACAAAAAAAAATACATATTTGGAAAAGTTGTATTTGCTGCTCAAGCTGAAGTATCAGAGGGATAGACATAAGTGTTTTTAAACATCTATTTAATTTCACAAGAATTTACTAATGATCACTATTTACTCCGTTCAGTGGTATCAATTGAAACATAAAATACAAGAGTAAATAAGAAGTGAAAAAACAGTAAGCAATTTTAAGGAATTTTTCTGTCTTTTTTTTTTCTTCACAAAAATTATAACAATGCAGTTCTGGTATGTAGTTTGATATCCCTGTTTTTAGCTTTTTTTTTAAACTAGCTTTCTTAAAAACTAGCTTTATTTTCATAATACGCTAAAAAGAATTCAACATTCAAATCTGTTTTTGTTAATTTAAATAAAAATAAAATATATGATTTTTTTTCTTATTTTTGCCAGCTTAAATAAAAGTATGATTAAAGACAAATGCATAAAGGATTTCACATTTTTTATGCTATGAAATTATGGTTATACTTTAAAGGAAAATTGGAAGAAAATAATTAGAAAATAAAACATGTAATTTACAATAAAGTACAGTTTTTAATTTAAAAATATTATTCATTTGTGTCAAGACTTAAAAATGTATATTAGGGTTCATAAATTCTTATTAAAATAAATAAATGATAGTAAAAAAATCATTTGTTTTTAATGGAGACAAAGAAAACAACCCAAACAATATTTTATATTATAAATTTTTTTATACTGTTTAATTTTTTTTTTAAATAGAAAGTTGTTTTAAATAAATAAATAAACAATAAAATAAATTATATACCTTTTCAAATTCAAGTAACAACTTATTCCACAAGTTTCAAGCTAGATGAACAAATAAATAAATAATAATAATAAAATCAAAAATCTTAATAAAATCATAAAATAATAAAAATCAAATAATAATAATCAGAATTTCAAAAGTATTTTCATAATGGAGTAAAAGAAAAATCCCCAACCCAGCAATCTATGACATCTAAGGCTTAATTTAAAAATAAGGCTGTAATCCTACACTACAATCTTATTAATAATACTATTACATTTTAATACAAAAAATAGAAAGCAACACTAAACAATTAAAATCTCAAATCAAATTTAAGATTATAAGTATTGAGCTATTTTAAATAAATTAAAACATTATTAATCAAATGAGATATGACTATAAAAAATTTTATATTTTATGCTCAGATAAAGTTGCCCTTTTTCTGTATTTATAAAACAAGTAGTTTTAATAAAATCTTCATGACATTAATTTATTTAAAAAATTATATTATTTATTAACTGACAGATAGCTTTTTAATGGGTTATCTATAACAATTTTCAGTAACATCCAGGTTTGTTTTGTTACCTTTTTTAAGTATGGAAAAGAATAAATATGCTCCAGAAATATTGTTCATATAGAAAGAATTAACCTTTATATTTAAAGAAAAAATATTGTTCATAAGATCTCTGACATCTGATGTTATTCCAATGGTATTGTCTTAAGAATAACTTTTCAGTATGTAACTGATATAGAATAAATTTTTTTAAATAAATGCAGCAAATTTTCAATGCTTGTACTAACTAAAAATTTTAAAAATTTATTCAGAAAAGTGAATGCTTCTAAAATCTTTACTTATAGGCAAAAACTTACCATTGGTAGCTCTATCAAACAAATGATCTGATGTATCATACGTTAATTCCATGGAAGTTACAATCCAAGTGTCCTCACCAGTCTAAAAATATTCTTTTTTTGTTTATATATTCAAAGAAAAAAGATCAAAACATAAAACAAGTGTATAACCTTAAGCGTATTCATGTTATGAAAAAAATATTCATGTTATTAAGAATAACACTGATGTAATTTTTAAAAAAAATTAAGTCTATTTGGATTGTAGTCCTCAATACCTTTTCTATGATTGATATTAATTTAATATTTAAGCTAAAAGGACAGAATTCACAAAAGCTTAATAAAACTATTTTAACTAGAAAAAAAATAACAGCCTTGCACATATTTATTTATCAAAACAAACAGAAATGCAATACAAGAATGAGTAGCCTTTTCACCAAAGCATTTAAACAGTTTCTTATACACACTTTAAATAAATATAAATATTTAAATATTAATTTACTAACATATAACTAAACATTATTTAGATTTACAGGATAGACTAAATATAATAAATATGCAATTTAAATTACAACAGTAATTTTACACCTTACAATACTCAACCAATTACGCGTAAGTTATTAAAAAATTTGGCGATTTGTAAAATTAAAATTGGATATAAATTGTATCTTATTTATCCCAGTAATTTTTCTCACTGATCAACACCTTGAGGTAATAAGATACTAAGCTTACATAAAAAGGAAAAGAAATCACCACTCATGATTTCAATAAAGAAAAAAGTTACTTAATCAAAGTTTTAAATTAAATTACGGTACATGAATTATCCTTTGTACTTGAAGATTGTTTTATACAATTATAAGCTCAAAGTTTATAGTTAGCAATCAGCTCTCGTGTTTGAAGCTAATACATTGAGTGGCTCCACTCTGTAATTTGCACTTGAGTGCAAACAATGAAATAATAAACTGAACTAGGGGTCTACCACCCCTGCTTTCTACATTACTTGAGCAGCAAACTTGTAAGTAAATTATTGAAAGCAGTAATACGCACAATGGTCACAGTAAACATTAATATTTTTCTCAGGTAAAAAAGTACTTGAAAATATAAAAAACTTCACTTCCATTTACTATAAGAAGATCATTTTATTAAATTTCTTTCAAAAAATGAAAGCATCACTTACAAATAAATTATGCAAATACTTACCCTTTAAAACTTACATATGGTAGGCATCAGAAATTAAACACAATTAGTAAAATAAATGCCTTTATTATGTTGATTAATAAATAAAAATGTAATAGTTTTGCATTAGCCATTAATTTTTATTTATTTAAAAAAAAATTCTGTGCTGATTTATGAATGACTGGTTGTTAAGAAAAATTAATGTTGTACAAAATAAATTTAAAATGACATCTAAATATAATTTGAAGAAAATTTTTTTTAATATCTCACATAAGATTGTTTATAGTAAACCATAAATTTTTCATATTTAACATAATTTTTCAAACTAACATTTATAATTAAATTACAAACCAATGAAAAATATCACACCTTTATAATAACTAATTCAAGAAAAAACTTACTTCTTACAAAAATAGCTATACTGTAATTTTAAAATCACGTGAATATGAATCGCGACATTGGATTTCAAAAAGGCGAAAATATAAATTTCGATATTGGGTTTTAAAAATATGCAAATGCAAATTACAACATTGGACTTCTTACTCCCATGAATACGAATCCAGATATTGGGTTTTAAAAACGTGCAAATTCAAATCACAATATTAGATTTTTAAATAGTGTGAATAGGAATCTTGATTTTTTTTAATTGTTATATAAATAGATACTAAAAGGGGTTTCTCTAGGCTTGATCGTATTTTTGATTGATTGTANAGAAATTTATATTGATAAGACAAAAAAAATCAGCTATATTCTTTTTATTTGGAATTTTATTCTGTTGAAGTAACTTACTTTATTTTATCTTTTAAAAATAAAAAAGAAGCTTGAAAAGAAAAAAAATCTGTGTCAAAGGAAACATCTGTTTCTTAAGCAGTTTAAAATAAATTGAGAAGTAAAAACATCTGCATTTCCAATGAACAAAATAAAGAAATGCAAGTTGGAAAAAACTGATCAATCAATCTTGACAGCTAGGCTTGATTTACTGATTTGCCCCCAAATCTCCCTCCTCTGTTTGACCATAAATTGGCCACAGCCAGTTGACATTGAAACTACCATGTAGACAACAAAATGAATTCTATCCCTTTTGCGGTTTTTTATTCGATTTATTAATTTATTATTTTGCCGCTTTTTATTAGTTATTAACTGCTAATTTTTTTTTTTTTTGTAAATAGTTATCTTGTTTTTTTTTATTGTTAATAGTTGTTTGTTTGTCTCTTTTTTTTTAACGTTATTAATTTAATTTTTCGCTTGTTTTTTTTTTGTTATTCATTGTTAGTTTCTTAGCATTAATTGTTAAATTTTTTTTTCTTTTTTTGTAGTTCCTTGTTAGCTTTTTTTTTTCTTGCGAGGTAATCGTCTTTTGTTAAAACAAAATGTTATCTAAAAGAAAAAACGAGAACTATGATCTCGCTCCAAAGAAGAAACGATTATTTCTTCTTCATAGGATTCGAAATATTTCTCTTGATTATATTATATAGATTATTATTTTGATTAGTAAAATTTCTTAAGATGGGCCAGTTTTAAATTCACCCCATCATTATCTACGATCAAAACTTGACTAAATTTATCGGTTTTTCTGAAATTAACAATGGAATTGAATTATAGTACAGTCAGCCCCGCTTAAAGGAATACCATCGGTTCCAGCCAAATCTATGCTATTAAGCGGGTTATTCGATTAAAAGGGGAGTGTTATATTCAATCTTTAATTCTGAATTTTTGCCAAATTTTATTTTTTAATTGTATTTGATTGAATAAACTCAGTTTTGTGATCAATAACTAATTATAATTAAAACTTTCTGCCTTAGTATCATTATAAAATGTCATTTAAAGTTACATAAAAATAAATCAATGTTAGCAAAAAGCATCATGTAGGAACGAAAATATTATTTTATCCCATCCGAAAAATTCTATAATTGAAGACTGTTTTTTATACCCGTTTAATTCGTTAATTTATCAAAATTAGATATTCCCTTTTAGTTTCTACAAAAAATTTTATGACTTGTACGTATTCCTTTCAAACACTTTCAGATTTTTTTTTATCGTTGAAACTTGAGAAATTCCTAATTAATGCACTATTTTAGTTGGGGATTTTTTTGAAATTTATTGTTTCTAAGATTCATTGTTTTTTTCCGATTAATTTAAAGAATTTTTTTTTGCGCTCAACTTGCAACAAACTCAAAATTATTCACTGGATTAAGCAAGTATTCTACTTAAGAGAAAGATATGCTTTACACTAGTGTATTAGGTTTTTAAAACTTTTTCTTATCCACGCTAATAGTGCATCAAGAGGGGGCCACAAGTCTTGACCTAAAAACTAATCACTCTATCCCTTTTTTACATACTAAATGATGTGTGAGTGAAGTAAGTCAAAGAGGGGTAAAACCCCCCTCGTTTACTTCAATGTATAACTGGCAGCAAGATTTGATTAATTTTTCAACTTCATCCCAAACACCTACTATAATGAATAAGAAGTTCCTATTGAAATGACCACCTACTGTATCCTTATCCACCTACTGTGAAAAAGGGAAATTGCATTTCAGCTGGTGAAATATTACTCTATAATTAACAAATTTTTTTCATTTTAGTACCACTTCTTTATGCGATTAAGCGGGGACAAAAAACAACAGTTAACCGTTTAAACGGGGAAGTTTAACATTAGTTAAATATAAAATGACTTGGTTCCATTAAATTTTATTCCTATAAGCGGGTTATTCGATTATCCGAGGGGCGAATAAGTGGGGACGACTGTACCTAATATTAGGGGGCCATATTGGAATTTCCGAAAGAGATCCAAAAATCGGCATTTCGTCAGTCCCGTGAGTGTCGGATTTAGGGTCCTATTACTTCCTTTTCTGTTCGCTCAAATTACAATTGCCGATGTTCTGCAGCAGATCGCGATACGGACGAATATTTCGTCGACTTCGTTTATTAATTTTTTTTTAATAGTCTTTCTCTTAGAAAATTATTTAATCTTAAATAACTTTCCTTGAAAAATTTTTTTGCTACTAAAAAATATTTCGTCGGAAGCGCCGCTGCATCGGAAGCGCCGCATGTTTTTTTCGATACTTTTTTTCAACTTTTTTTTCGATAGCGCCGCGGCGCTTCCGCCGAAAAATACGGTATTTAAAAAAAATTCTGTGTTGATTTGTGAATGACTAGTTGTTAAGAAAAATTAATGTTGTACAAAATGGCAGCCCATATAAATTTAAAATGACATCTAAATATAATTTGAAGAAAGTTTTTTATAATATCTCACATAAGATTGTTTATAGTAAACCCCCACCAAATCCTAAAAAACTAATAAAATTTCAGTTAAAAAAAGAAATTAAAATATTGTGATGGAAAACTAAACACTTTGTAGTAACAAGGAGTTTTAACAAAAATTTATGCCGAAAATAAATATATAAAAGAAAAACTTTTTTTTAAAAAATAACTAAAAATTTCAATTTTACCAGGTTTTTAACATATTTTCGTAACACATCTTAACAGTTTTAATCATAAATTATCATTTTTACAAAGTATTCCCTGATTTTTCCAAGTATTCCAGGTTTTTCCAAAAACATAAGAATTCTGTTCAACTACAGAATGTCCACTATTTTTAATGTAATTACTAACAATAAATTTTTTTTTTACAATTTTAAACAATTATCAGGGCTATTTCTTCTCTATTATAGGCGATTCCCACATTTATACAGATAGAATAGAATTATTATTAATAAGAATACAGCATTTAAACCAAAATAACATAACAAAAATTGCAAGCAAAGTATCTAAAATTCGTCAATATGTATTGGAATTAATTTTCTATAATAAGTTTTGTGATTAACCAGCACTTATTGACACACTTTTATTGAACTTCGAATGAAATTTAGAATCAAATAACATTACAAATAGATGATAAACAAATAGACTAAAAAAATAAACTTTTAAGACTTATAAAATTGAATCTATAAGGTTTTTGGTTACCAAAAACTTTGAAGCTAACAATTAATTTTTCTAAATATTTTAGAAATAGTAAATTTTTTTTATGTAAATTACACTCATGTTACTACAAATTGTACAAGATTTAGGAGAAATGAATTAAATTTCTTTCAGTAAGTAAAGTAAGTAAATGATCATTATTATATTTTAGCAACCTATCCCCATCTTCCTTATCGTACTTACATTAATAAAGAAAAAAAAATTTAAACAGAGAAAAATACAAAAAAAATTGTTTTTTTTTACAGAGTGTATATAATATGGGCAATTGTGACATGAAAGTGAAAAACCCTAGAAATTTTATGTGCAAAAAAATTATATTAAGATATAAATTTATAAACCATAAATTTTTCATATTTAACATAATTTTTTAAACTAACATTTGTAATTAAATTACAAACCAATGAAGAATATCACACCTTTATAATAACTAATTCAAGAAAAAACTTACTTCTTACAAAAATAGCTATACTGTAATTTTAAAATCACGTGAATATGAATCGCGACATTGGATTTCAAAAAGGCGAAAATATAAATTTCGATATTGGGTTTTAAAAATATGCAAATGCAAATTACAACATTGGACTTCTTACTCCCATGAATACGAATCCAGATATTGGGTTTTAAAAACGTGCAAATTCAAATCACAATATTAGATTTTTAAATAGTGTGAATAGGAATCTTGATTTTTTTTAATTGTTATATAAATAGATACTAAAAGGGGTTTCTCTAGGCTTGATCGTATTTTTGATTGATTGTAATAAAGTTTAGATCTTATGTTTTCAGAAAGCCATCTTTGGTGATGTAGCATTCTCATGCATTCAACTTACTTCAGTGACGTCATGAGTTTGACCAATCTTTTTTCGCTTGCTGTTGGTTGATCAAGCACGGCTCATGACATCATCCCTTATCTTTAGTATGAGAATACCTAAGCTTCTGTTGAAGATGGTTATGTTATATTCTTACTTTTCGTTGTTTTGTTACTCTGTCCGTAAGAGAGCAATATGTCTGTTTATTTAAAGTTTAATATGTTTTTAAAATTGTTTTTTTTCTTCATAGAAACTTTGTTTCTGTTATAATGAAAGTTAATAATTAGTTACACTGACATTCTTGTGAGTATTTTGGTAGTCATAAATCAAATAAATATTAAAATTGATGTGATTTATTAAAATCGTATGAATAAGAGGCGTGATATTAACAGATTCTGGTGCAGTTCCAAAGATATAAAATGATGAAAATGTACCAAACCATAAGAATCAAATTGGAGGAAGAAAGACGTGTATGTATACATCTTCTTAACAGGATTTAACTAAAGTTTAAAAAGTTAGTTGAATTATAAGTTTTAAATTCACAGAAGTCCGTGAACTAATGGTCTTGAGATTCACGGTAAAATTACTTGTCCTGCATCTAGTTTTTGGACCCAAGAGAATTGTAGAGAAACCCGGAATACAATTACCCTTGATATAATTATGCACTGAAATAATAAATGGCCTTGCTTAATTTTTAAAAAAATGAATTGAAAATGTATTTTAAAAGTGACAGGGGAGCTTTCTCAAAAAGTTGAACAAAATTACAAAATTCATTTAAATTTACAAATTAAACAATCTTTACAAGTGTAACTTACCTTATTAAACATAATTGTAAAGAGATATTTTTTCCATGAAATTTGCAACAATGGTGTCTTTGATGTATGTTCACATGTCCCTTTAGCTATTCCTGTCTTATTCACCTTAACATCTGCTTTCTAAAAAAATAAGTAATATTAATAATTATATTATTTTTAATTATTTACACAAGAAGAAAAGTTTTGTTACAAATACAAATCCTTATTACTTAGGACTGTTGAATTTATTTTCATAAAATGAAAACACACTCTTTTCTACATCTTGTTTGTTTCTACATCTTGGTTGTTTTTTATATTTATTTTCAGTGACTATACTTTTCAGGTTATCTAACTTAGCCAAGGAAATAACAGAAGCAGTAATAACTATTTGAAATGGTACCTACTATGTTCTTGTACAAATAAAGCATTTTAACATTTTATAATAATAAAACATCAGTTAAACCATTATAACATTTTGCTGCTGTCATGGATTCATGTTGTAATTTTTGAACTTTTTTTCACTTCTTTACTTTATGTAATAGTTGAATGTAAATTTTAATGGCATGTGAGCTAGAATGGACTATATTGCAACAAATACAAATAAAATTACTTTATCTATATTCCATATGATCAAATAGTGCTTAAAATAAATATGATGCAAGAAAAAAAGATTTAAAAAAAATAAGAAAGAAAATAAGATCTAATTATTACTTACTATTTTTAATTAATTTCAACTAAAGAGAGTTAACTCTATGAGGAGTAGAATGATACATAATATTTTATATCACATTAAATTTAAACAAATTGTTGCTTTACATGCACAAAAAAAAGAAAGAAAAAATTCTGAAAATTTGTTTTAAAAAATGAAGTGGGGAATAGTAACAATTTTTATTTTTTTTTATTTTTATTAAAATAGAAAAGTAAGTCTGAAATAAAAAAAAATTGCTAAAATTTCATTCAGTTAATTAAAAGAATTTAAATATTTTTAACCTCACAACAGTTTAAAAAATACAAGATTGTTTTGTTAACTGTTCAGTATAGTTAACAAAACAATCTTGCCGACTTAAACACAATTGAACTAGTTCTTGATTAGAATTAAATTCATATTTTCAACGAAAATAGAAATAACAGCAACATGGCATTAGTGTTTTTTTCAAGCACTAAATAATTTGGCAAAAATTCATATATTTAACTGGATTTTAAAATGTCTAAACTACCTTCAAAAAAAATAAATGTATAGCAATTTAATGATGAAAAATAACAATAAATTTATAGCATAGCCTTTTAATAATAAAATAGTATGTATTTCAATAAATTAAGTCAAAATTTATTAATGGAACAAAGATTCATATATTTCAACTGTAAAATATTGTAGACAAAAAATAAAAGCCATGTAGAGTTTGACATGTTAATAAACTTGACCAAAAAAAAAACTATTAAAAGTTAGTAAATCACATTTTGTGCCTTATGTGAATTTAACCAAAAAATAAAATTTGTTCAAAACTAAGAATTAAATACATCATAAGTAGCAAATTGTATAGATGATAAAAATCAAGAACTTCATGGAAATTGGCAGAGGTGCATCACAGCACAAGTATAATCCAAATAATAGCCTATCACTTAAAAGATTCTTTCAAGTGAAACTTTTTCTGCACAATATTACACATTTTTTTTAAGTCAAATTTTGAAACATATAATTTGTTAAAAATAGTATGACACATTCTATAACTAAATTTCATAATTTTCATATTTATATTTCTTATTTTGCACCACTTTCATAATTTTTTTTTATATTATTAATAACTAAGTAGTTTGATGTAATTATGAATTAAATACAGCTTTCTGTAATTAAACAAAAACGTGCTTTCTAGAAAATTTTATTCATTTTATAAGCAATTTTTTTATAAATTAAACAGATTAGGGGATAAAGTAAATATGCCACATTAAAAAAAAATATTTTCAATAAAAAAAAATTTTGGTATTAGTCGAACCCATTCAATAAGAAAAACATTAAATTATAAATATAATACCAGAATCACATAATACATAAAAATGTTTACCTCCTCTCCTCCTTTACTGGGGTAAGTAATTACGAAATCAGCTTCAAACCTGGCCAAAAGGCATATCTTTCCCTTAGTATTCCAGACTGCATAAGCCCCTTCTGGACTAGAATCTAATACAATTTTTTTTAAAAATGAGACATTGCTAACAAAAGTATAGAACATACATTGGGTTGTCAGAAAGTAATTTTGTTTTTTTTTAACAGAGGACTTAATTGTATTTTTTCACAGTCAACTTAACACTGAAGACGGACAATTATTAAATATTTTGACAGCTGATAGAGTGAAGCTTACAAAAGTTCATTTAATTCTATGCAGTGGTTTTTGGTTGGTGCCCTTTTTAAATATGGAAAGTGAAAAGGAGAATTATTTTACTTTTTTTTTACTAATCAAAAAGGTAAAAAAAATTATCTGATGCATTTGCAAAATGTCGATCTGACAATTTTGATGTTGAAGATGCACCAGAGTCTGAAAAGCCAGTTGAAGTTGATGAGGTCATAGAAAGGCATCAATTGATGCAAACTGGCGAATAACAATCAAGAGAGTACTGAGAGATTTATTGAATTTGGCGGTTTGTGATGATTTAAAATGCATAAGTTTAATCTCAACATATAGATTTCTTATGTTCTTACGGAAAAAAATTTGTGCACTCGTACCGGCGGCCGTGATTTGCTTCTTAAAAGTCACGAAAATTATTCATTTCTAAAGTGCATAATTGCTGAGGACAAAAAATACATATGTGCTTTATTTATTCTTGCCAGACTTTATATTTTAGTTCTTCATTTTAGTATTATTTTCTCCTTTTAAGTCTAAATGTTAATGTTTTCAGTCTAAATAATTCAGAATTAATGAATCAAGATCATTATTCTGTAAAAATAAGTAGATATAGCAATTAGATAAATTTGCATTAAAAAATCATTATTTCATAAGTATTCAAGTAATCATTTTTAAAATTATATTTTATAAATTTTATGCAAATTAATTTTTAATTTATGACTCCATTTAGTTTATGCTTCCATTTAACGCATACAAAAGTTTAATAATGCACAACGCATTCCAGATTAAATTAATCCTAAGATGATTCAATATGTTAGTGATCATAGCGAGTCGTATTATAATAATTTTCAGAAAAATTATCACAATACAAATTTTTCATATTTAATTACAAAATAGTTTTTATCTTACAAAGTCACAGCCTATCTTGTGTTGAGAAAAAAAAATTTTAAATCTTGCATGAAATTTTGATAGCTATTTAAAAATGAAGCAAAAATATTTACTTTAAAAAAATTAAATGCTTTCTTCAACTTCTAACTACAACAAAATGCCCATAATTATCATTGTATTATTTACTATGCCTATTTAACCTTTAATTCCTTAATAATCTGTGATAAAATAAGTGTTCTGCGCTTGTTTTTAGTCCCTATTTTGTCATGATATGAAAATATAATAAATATGTTGCAATTGCACATTTGTTGTGAATTAAGTTGTACTCTTTACAATGCACATATACAAGTAAATTATTTATTCTTGCTCAACTTTGTATTTTTGTTATTTATTTTATATTTATTTCCTCCTTTTTACGTCTTTTGTCTTGATTCTCCAGAAGTCAAAGATCAGGATCATTATAAATGAAGGTTTTGTGCTTGTAATTAGAGCATTTTTTTGATTGCATGCTTTGCCTACAAAAATGACATTTTTCATGATATTACAAAACTTTTTTTTTCTATTATTGATTTATTATTTACTTTGTGTGAGTGTGAAAGTTCTGACATATGCCTGCAAACTTAACTGTATTGTAAATAAGTTTACATTCCATTACGTAAATAAGAAATATCTCAAAAAAGTAGTTTGAGAACATTTTTTGTTATTAAATTTAGACTCCCAAAATTACACATTTTTTGTTTAAAATATGTTATCTCTTCAGTCTTATATGTTTGTGTATATACGGTTGTGTGTTCGTAGATACACAATCAAAATAAAAGTAGAAAATTCAAGATGCGATCAAAAAAATGTTTTAAAAATGTAGATAGGGTAGAATAACAAGATAAAAATAAATAAATAAACAATAAAAGAAATTAATCTGCTGATCATCAAACAACACGCAAGATGTTTTATCAGAATTCCATCTTAAGCTGAAATTCCATATAAAGCTAAAATAGCATGAAACATGTGGTGAGAATTTACCCTGTATTCACCCGTAATAAATAAATGAATATAAATAATATAAAATAAAAAATAAATAATACTCAAACATAAATTTTAATAATTCAAACAGTGATTGAAATGTAGGAGGCAGAAAAGAATGTAAAATTATTTTTGTGTTAAAATGTTTTTGGTTTGTTTATTTTTTTTCTACTTTGTTTGAACAAAAACTATTACTTTAAATTATTAAAAACGAAAAGAGAAAAATCAAAACGAAAAGACAAAACATAAACTTAAGCAAAATTACAAAGCAATAGAAATAAATTATAAAATTTTCGCGAAATTATTATTTTTTTTCAGAAAATAAAAACTGTCAGAATGGTGAATGTAAGATTGCAAACAATCAGGGGTCTGTTTAGAAGAAATTTGGGTCCGTTAACGGACCCTTCACAAAATATTTTAACTTATAAACGGACCCTTCACAAAATGATTTTTCTTTTAATTGGACCCTTCACAAATTTGCTTATCTTCATTATTATCTTGTTAATCAAATAAACCCTTTCCAGGGCAGAAAACAAGAAAGATGGATGTAAACGAATTAAGTTTTGTTTTCGGCAGACGATTCTTCCATTATTCGTCCGAAATGAATATTCTGCGTTCAGCAGTATAGGCTAAATACCAAATATTTGTATGTTGCATCTCTAATTTAGAAGCAGCAATTGTTGTTTATTTTTTAAAATTTAATTTTTTTAATTATAACTTTACAGTGTTGAGCATAATCTTGTATGTCTTTACAATTTAAAAACTCCTTGAAAAAGTTTTTTTTTTTGAAATAACGGACCCTATTTGCACAAATTCATAAAAGCGGACCCTGGTTGAAAGAATATGAGTAATTTTTTCACAATTTTACGAAAAACGGACCTTTCACAAAATGTCTGGATAGACCCCTGACAATGTATCAAAACAAACTTTTTCTCTGATGTGCCAAAACAAATGTTTGATTTTTCTTTCATCATTTTTTATTTTTACAACTTTTAATTATATTAGTATCAGTTTTTATCACTTTTTACTATTTTATATTATGACTTTATAAGTTGCTTAAGTTTTTAAAAATTAGAATTTTCTGAGAATATATTTCGTCATATATTTCAGGTTCAATAAAATAGTTTCACTGTTCCATATATAATAATTAATAAAATAGTTTCTTTAATTAATTATTTTCAAATAATGATTCTACACACATAAATGAAAATGTATAGATTTCTCAGTGTCCTAATTTGAAAGAAATTAATTGTAACATATAAGTTGATCCCTATTATTGTAAACACCTATTAATTATTTACATTTTTAGTTAGTGTAAATAAATAATTAGAATGCTTATTCTCGATATTTCACAATCAAACTAAAAAGAGGGTTAAAAAATAAAGATCGCAAACCCCGAAGCAGAATCACTTTAGGAAACTTACGCTTACACTGCTCAGTTTTCCTTGCACCATGTGACAATGATGGAACAGTGTAGTTGACCCAGTATTATATATCCCTGTCACTGTACCAATTATCCCCTCCCTAAAGGTGATGCCTCCCTTAGTGCAAGACTTACCACTGGTTTTGCCATTTTTAATTTTTTCTTCAGGAATGGCCTCTTCTTCATTTTCCTCAGGAATCTAGAATAAATGAAAAAAAGAGCTGAATTAGGTACGTTTGTTGACCACCTCAATTTTTTTTCTTTTATTTAATTGTATATAATGCTAAGAAATGCAATTAATGTACAATAATTGTATAGTCAAAAGCACATAAAATACATGCAAGGTAAGATGTAATACATTTAATTATTATTTGAAAAACAACAAAAACACGCTTTTCATGTGTTACAAAAAGACCTTGGCTAAGCTAATATTCAAGAATTTCTCCCTTGTTAATTCGAATTGCAAAAATTCAACGAGGCATTTCAGCGAAGAATTCAGCGAATTTCAGCTTCCCATGCTGAAATAATGGCTGCTTTCAAATCCCATGTGAGCTGTTATATTGTTCGCTGTTTGCATAAACAACCCTGGCGAAATTATCACATAAGTTCTCCATGGAGTTGAGGTTCGTAGAAACAGCAAGCCAGTTCATAGTGTTCACCCCATTAGCGAGAAACCATTCCCAAGTTGATTTAGTGGCATGAATTGAGGCATTATCTTATTGGTAAATCCGAAATGGTCCCCCAATTACTTCTCCAAAGGGTAACAGATACGCTTCTAGTATGTCTTGGTTTTCGATAGCATTAATACGCCCGGAGGGAAAGGCAAGGTTTACTTTACCAACCCTCAAGTCCCTTAGAGTCACAATCTTGCTATAGCTGCTTTTCTTTCAAATAGATTAAAAATGAACTTTAGAGATGATTTAATTAAGAACATTCGAGATTAAGACATTTCGCCGAAATCTTTTAACAATCAATGATGTAACATTCTTTAAAAAAAATTTCTTCATTGAATGAGGAGAAAGTATGCACAGATTATATTCTGTCTCAAAAAGTGTAGTCACTTGAAGACGATGGGGTAGAACTGTCTTCTTCTTTTCCCCTATTTGTAAGGGGTGTTGAATAATTTCCCATATGGATACAAACAAAAGACTTCTCAGAGTTTTCTGAGGAAAAAATGCTTCAACAGGAAGTTGGTGGTAAAGTAGGAACGCATCCTCGCCATTATGTTTTTAATTTATTCTCATTTAAGAAAAAAACTAGACTTTTTAAGAATATAATTATATTTCTTTGAAAGACAAAGGCTTTCTTCTCAACAATTTTTAAGTTCCACCTAATAAGGAGAGGGGTAAAGTGATACCTGACAGGGGGGCAATCATACCAAAAAGTTTCGAGATGAGTATAAAAATAACAACGTAAGTTTAAATTTTTATTTAAACACTATGTTTATTAAATCAATGACTAATTCATACAAACTTTTCATCTAAATCGAAATACACAATATTCCTATAGAAACACATGGTTTAAAACCTGTTTATTCAGCAAACACACAACATTCCAAGACAAACCGTTTGAGGTTTAGTAAGTACAAATAAAAGATAAATAATTAAAAAGCGTGATATCACTTTAACACAATCTGTAATTTAAAATTTATAAAATGTTAGAAATTGAAAAATTAATAAGAAAAAAATTACATGTATCTTGTTTTTTTCCTAATTTCCCATAAATTCAGTAATTTAACACTTCTAAATTACTGTAATGGTACTAAAAGAATCAATTACAGTGTTAAGAAGGGTGGTGTGCCTTGCCTGCTCTTTGAAACCTATGAATAAACCCTTCTTACATTTTTTGTAAAAATAAGCAATCATTACTTAAAAACACTGCATTTTTATTCCATTTTTTTAAGGAGAAGGTTAGCAGCTTACCCAACTATTTTAAGGAAAAGCCTGCTCTTTAAAAACTATGAATAAGCCCTTCTTGCTTCTTTTGTAAAAATAAGCCATCATTTCTTAAAAACACTGCATTTTTATTTCATTTTTTTAAGGAGAAGGTTAGCAGCTTACCCAACTATTTTAAGGAAAAGTCCACTTCTGATTTATTTAATTATTGATAATTATTTAACTTTAATTTTTAATTTTATTTCAGCAAGTATTTTCTTATGCACATAGTTAAAATTCACAACATATTCGGATTCAGATATTCACACCTTTTATTTGGGGAAGGGTGTATATTAATGAGTTTTTTACTAATTTTAACTTTTACCATCATTTTTAAGTAAATACCTTTCATTTAAAAATGCACCTTTAAAAGTTTATTTTCCTGAAATTTTCAGTTTAAAATTTAAAAAAAAGCTTTTAAGTAGTTTATAAATTAATCCTACTTTAGTTTAATTTTTTTTTTTTTTTTTTTTTTTTTTTTTNTTGTTTTTTTTTTTTTGAAGAAAATTTATGCACAGAGCTTGCCTTTAATTAATTTTCAAAAGTTTCGAATTTTTCTGTTATGTTGATAATCAGTGAGATTTAGTTTGTGAAATATACACATAAAATAGTGTAAGAGAGTAATTTAAAAATGGAGGGTCAAATTCAGTTACTAATTAATATTACACATTTTGATAAGTTTTTATGGTGGTAAGTAAGGGCCCTTAACAAAACTTAAAGTGCCCTTTTCTGAGAGGAAGCACCATGCCTTTTCTTAGTTCCAGAGAGAACTCTGCAATTACATAACACAAATAAGTTTTGAGAAAAAAGACCTAACATTTTTACATAACACCAATTTATATGAAAATATAAACCCTAGATACCAAGTATATATACATATATATGTTCATATATGAATGATCTTTATATATGAATATATCTTCAAATAAAACTCTAAATTTTAAAAAGTCTAAGGGACTTGATTCATGCATTTAATGTTTCAATTTAAAAAATAAATAAAAATTCAAGGAAGTTCATAATAATTTAATTTAAATGTCATGACAAAGCAAAATTAAATCACAAGAAATAAAAACATACCATTGTTGATGTAGTTGAATTGTCCTCTTTTGGGATTTCTACAGATCTAAACTTTTCTAAATCTTTTTGAAGTTGTTCCTTATCTCTTGTAGCTTTAAACTTTTCTAAATCTTCAACAAATTCTTCTCCATTTTCTTTGAATTGTTCTTGAGATTCTTTTACTTTTTCTTTGAGTTCATCTTCTACTACCTTAAAAGTTTATTATGAATGAAAAAAAAAGTTTAGAAGTCAGAATTTTTATATCTTAATAACTTTTAATATCTTAAATCGCTTTCTTCTAAGAAACGTAAGTAGGAACAGATTGTCGAAATTCTACTCAGAAATGAATATTAGTTGTAAAATACAAGTGAAAAACCAAAAAAAAACTTAGAATTTAAAAATTAATTTCTTTTCAGATTTAGTGAAATTCTATTAAGTTAAAAATGATTCCAGTTGCCAAAGTTTCAGGCCCTAATAAGAGTAGCATTGTAAGTAAAATTTAAAAAACAAATTTATTTAGATGTTATAATAGATCGTATCTCTTTTTAAGCAGAGCAGGTGGATTTAAAAAATTCTGAGAGAAATTACAAATATTTATCATATAAGGTGATTCAAATCAAACAAAACAATAACCTAAAGAAAACTGAGTTGACTGAATTGATCATCTTTCAATTCTATTGAATTTAATTCCATAAATCAGGGCCCGCGCTAAGCATTCGCCACATCGCCAATGGTAAATTAAGCAAAACAAACTGTGTTTTGGCGAAAGTATTGGCAAATGATTTCTTCTACCGAAATAAAAATACATACTCTCCCTGATCTTGAAAATTACATCAATATGAATTTTTGTGAACAAATCTTGTATCTTTTTTTATTTGATTACAGTAATTTCCCAAAGATATGTTGCTTAATTTATTAGAGTTATACTAAGTCCAGATAATGTAACCAACAAGAGAGATTATAAGAGCATAAAAAAAAATTTAAAATATAAATTAATAAGTTTTCGCCAGACAATGCGATATGGTGTAAGGATAAGTTTGTGTTTATAAACCAGATTAAGTGGTAGCTAGATGCATAACTATTTTTTCAGAAAATAAATATTTTTTCCCACTACTTTAAACACTATTTTTTCTGAATGATTATAATAGAGACAGTAAAAAATAAGCAAGACAATGAAAATTCTTTTTTTAAAAAATAAAAGACAAAATTTAAAATAGAAATACATTCATTTAAAAGATAGTCAGAATATATAAAAGCAACAAATATTGCTGGAGGTTTTATCCTTATATTACTGCTCTAGTCTAAGAAGGTATCAAAAATTAACCTCAAACTATTCTTATTTAATTTCCTCAAAGTCTACATTTTTGATTCTCTCCCCCATTTATTGCTCATTTACTTTTTCCCGAGTGTAAAATGACTCTTGATCTGAATTTGCGTTTTTAAAATAGTTAAATTAATAGTAAATTTGTATTTTGACCTAAAGTTTTCAATGGGAAAAAAATTAATTATAAGAATTTGATACAATTTACCTCAGGCTAAGATTTTTGAAATTCAGCTTAAACTTTTGATATTTGGCTAATTTACTAGCCAGTAATTTGAAGTTCTTAGTGCAGGCCATTCATAATAAAATACTAAAAAGTTTCAATCCTATAATGTTGCATTGCATGCTTTATATGTTACATATTAACAAATAAAGCTTTTTATTTTTCGAGAAATTTTAGCTTTTATGATCTCAAATTTATAAAATATGATTTATGACTACAAATTTATAAAATAACTTTAAAATTTTTTATTTTTCATAATTTCATAGTCATAAATTATTTCATAGAACAAATAGTTTTATTTCATAGAATAAAGTTTTATTTCATAGAATAACTAGTTATTTCATTAAATAACTGGGCAAAGTATGAAAATTTTCATCTATTATATATCATGAAATATCTAGTTATTCTATGAAATAACTGCATCACTTTAACATTAACAAATACATCAAAAAAAATTTAAATTTTTTTTTTTAAATTTTATAAGTTTAAAAAAGAATTGAATGAAATAAAATTTTCATTCAATGAATATGAATGAATATGACATAACATTGAAAAAAGAAAACTATAAAAACCTTTTCAACTGCATCTTCATTAATAGATTTTCCTTTCTCTGCCTCTTCATTTTTAACTGCTTTAGCTGTTTCTTCAGCAAATTGTTTTATTTCCTCATTTTGAACCTTTTCCGCCACATTTTTAATTGCAGTCAAAATACTCTCAGTTGTAGTAATAATTTCTTCTTCACTTTGTCTTTTACGTAAACCATCTGGTGAAATAAGAATAAATTATTTGTTAAAATAACTTACACTTTGTCATTTTGTTCATCAATCAAATTGGATATTGGACTCTTTAAGAATTTGTCTTTTAATTAATCAAATTTAGTTAGATAATCGCAAATATTTTAATAAAAATGGTTTTGTGGAATGAAAAAAGAAAGTGATGCCAAACATTCAACGACTGAAATCTCACCTTCTGATCAAACTGTTATACAAAATATAAAATCGGTACTTTTCCATTAGTCGGGCGCACATGTCGCCAATTGTGAATATTTACATAGTATTTTCTTATTGACATAAGTTTACTTTTCCTATAAATAAAAGAAAGTTTCATAACAGGATATCAAAAAGTTTGACAACATTTTTTAATAAAAAACATTTGTTTTACTTTATTGAAGCCAGATTTTTTTTACATAGAACTTTTGAATAAGCACCAACCTTTAAAAGATTAGGCTTCTTTAAAAAGAGACAATCTTAAATGGATTAGGATTCTTAAGGAAAATAAATAAATCTTTAAATAGTTTAATTTTCAAAAGCATAAAATAGATATAAAAGAGTACATTTATAACATTATGTAATTAATAATAGACTGGCAATAAAAAATTATTTAGTATTTCTAAGCCCATTCTGCAATATGTGATTCAGTGAAAGATAAATTATGATAGTTAGAATTATACTCTTATATTGAGTTTTAATATAGAAGCAAAAATTGTCTTCTTAAATTAAATAACTGATTGTATCCATCACTATAAAATTCAAAATTATAACATTTTAAGGTGCACTGACAATAAAAGTAAAGAAGAAAAAACTCATTAATATGCTTTGCTCATTAAAGACTTAAAAGTAAACATTATATAAATATAAAACATAAAAGGAACCTCCTATACAGTTGACAGATCTGTCAACTGCACAAGAGCTCTGCAGTTATATGAAACCAACTAATAGAGTCATGTATTTCAAAAATTAATATTAATGAGTGAAAATAATTTGAAAGCATGGTAACTTTAAACGTACAACGATATCTATTTTAAAAGTTTTAGTTATAAGTTTTGTCGCAGGTTGGTAAACTCTTAGCAACTACACTAAAAATTTCGTCACTTAACTATAATAATTTGAATCATTCATTAAAAGGAAATTTAGAAAGTTATCATTTATCTTGTCACTTTTAAAATATATTCCTTTATTTATACGCTCAATAATATACAAAATACAAAAGAATACAAATAAATTCGAGTGAATATTTCTCAAGTATAAATTCAAATAACTTATGATGATAACTATTAGTAGGTTTTTCAATGTAAGCAAACAATTTTTAAATATCATAAATTAATAAACATTATCTGTAACACTTACGAATCAATGGTATGCATGAGGAAAGTAATATTAAAAACTTAAAAGATTTAAAGAATACATGAAGCATTTTAAAAAAAATTAGCAGCTATTTTTCATAAATAAATCTTCGGGATAGCAAACTGATTGGATTTCAATTCTAATAATTAAATTACAAAACTTTAAAATACAAGAACAGGCTTCACTCCATCCGTAAGTTTCGGATTGATGTTGGGTGAAGAAGAGGATCTTTGCTCTTCGCTTTTATTCTTTGTGCCGCAAGTAGTGTCGTAGATAATGTAGATATAAGGAACCCATAAGAGGAAGTAAAAATCCTATATTTCTGGTGGCAACAAAAGACTGGATCTTAGGTTTAACTTACTTTTGTGATTTATCTTACTATTGGCGTACAAAAATATTTTTATTACCATTTTTAATCACAAATGCTTAGTTGTAACAGTTCTGAAATAGAATATTACACTGAATGTAAACAATAACAAGTTTCCTAAAATTGGAAAAAATTTAGAAAACTTCTGATGTGCTTGTATGGCGATATGTGAAGAGGCTTAATATTCTAGGAAGATTTATTACTGTAATGCGTATTCTAATTTATTAAATTGTGTTTTAATTTATTGTGCTTCAATTTATTAATAATTGAGATTTTAAATAAAGAGATGGCCAGTCATATTCCAATCCGTCAGAGAGAAAATTGACTTAACATTGTCGAGTTAGCGCGAGAATTGAACATTTACATTAAGTCTAAAAATATGTCACACAGAGAAGCTTCTACTCCCCATAAATATGCGGAAAACCTTTTTCGAAGATCGAAACGAGATGAGAGAAGAAGCAGGGGGAACATACAAAAAATTCAGGAGGAAAGTAATAAGAGTTTCAAAAAATGTTGTAAAGCAGCTCGTGTATACAAGCCAGGTGAAATGGAGGCTATAGCGAGAGCTCAATTCGAAACTGAACTGAAACTGCTACCAAAATTCTTTAGATCTTATAAGATCATTAAAGCCAAGCAAAATTACCGATATGCCTGTTTCATTTCATACGCAGAACTAACTTTTATTTTTAATGAACTTTACTTTTATTCTACAATAACTTTTATTTGAATTATGAACCACACTTTTCTTTGAGTAATTTATAATAGAATCTCAAGTTATTATTTTGTCAATTTTAATAGAATTGTATATCAGCATAAATCAAAATGAACCATCGTAATAAAATATACGAATATGCATTACGAAGGAACTTAAATTATCAAAAATTTGATCACTTAATCTTGTATTTTAATAATAAAATATAAACTTTTACAAATTAGGAGAAGTAATCTAACCATTACTCCAAAAAAACGGATTAAATATTGAGTATAATTGTAAAAATGTGTACTTTTTGTGTCAGATTTCACTAAATGCACAAAACCGACGAAAAGAGAATGAAGAAAGCTCCAGATTCTTATAAAAATGTCCATGTTAAGGTTAAATTATAAATAAATGGCATTATAATTACTCGAAAATTTCTAGATGTGCTGTCGATCATATCTTCATTGCAGGGTTTAAGCTGAGTCTAAAAATTCATTAGCAAAAAAGCTAAAATCTGAAAAAAAGTTTTAGCAAAATGCTAAAATGCCATTAGGCTTATAAAATTACTTTATATCAAACAAGTACTGTAAGTTATCTGACAAAGAATAGCTTAATGTACAAGAATATCAAAAAGAATACCTATAACAAAAAAAAACACATTTATTATTTATCAAAACATTTTGGTTTATAATTAACAATCTTCCTTTCTTTCATGTTTGCCCATTTTACAAATGCTTCTTGAAAGTTAAATGCACTTTCAGGGCCCTCAATATTAATCATTAACAAATTGTTTACATGGTTGATTAACAACCTGTTTCGAATATTAGTTTTAATCAAATTAAGGCAGCTAAAGCCCCTTTCACAGTCAACAGTGTGCATTGGTATTTTTGCACAATACTCTATAACAGAAGTTATTAATGGGTACTGTTCAGACACATCATTGGTATATAAAAATAAAAGTAATTCATTAAATGACATGTTTTTACATCGTTGCATTAAGATGTGTTTAAATAATCCCCATTCACAAAGTAATTCAGTTTCTGTAAACTGAAAATCTTTTCTGGGAGATACCGAAAACAAATTGAAAATGCAACGGATTTCCTTTACACCATAATGCTGTAATTCGTAATTCGTAGCGTCATGGTTCTTCTTGCGAAAGATATTTAGATTTTTTCTCCTTCTTGTTTGATCAAGTTTTTTTCATGGATGTTAGCGTCATGGTTTTTCGCGGAAGCTTTTTTTTCAATGGAATTTAGTAAAATCCTTTAGCAAAAATGCGAAAATGCTTTGTTGAATTTTAGCATTTTTGACGGGTCTTTACGCATTTTGCGAAAAAAGCTACCGTAGCGGAAACCCTGCTTCATTGTAAAAAACTTTAATGCTTTTAAAGATAAAAAGCAAACTTCAAAAAATTAAATAAAGCTTCAATATATTGCAATGTTTTATTCAATAATGGGAACTTATCAGTTTCGGGAGTATGAAAAAATATCACAACTTTTGTTGATGTCAGTAATGTCAAATTAATTGTGGCAATAGGTACCTAATCTAGTTATACGTTTTATAGAGCATCCTGAAACTTATAAGTACTCAAAAACGTTAATGAAAGACATACCCTAAGAAGTATTTAACGGCAAGTCGTAAGCTTTGGTTCTTATACTGAGCTCGGTAAGATCAATAAAAGGAAAACCGTTTAAAAACATAATCTAAATGGTTGGTTTCGTATGCCTGTTTTAGGCAGAGGGGTGCGATTGTTCTTGTTTTCCAGTGGGGCCATCTATGGCCCAGAATTCGACTTCTGTCACACCCATTCGTCGTACCCGTTTATTGGATGGACCTATTCATACATCCATTCATTGATCCACAGATCGTAATTTTGACCTCAATCAGAGAACGATTGATCTCCAATCCAGTACCCCCAGAGTTTTTGGTTTGTGATGGGAGCATGGAGAATTTTGCGGCTCGACAGATTTAACGTGCATCAGTCACCATTTTACTGCACTGGGAGTCTTCGGCTGGCGGGGTTCGAACCCATGAACTCTCGGACATGGTCCCACGCCTTACCGACCAATCTATCCCCACCCACATATTCTAAATAGAAAGTTTGATTAATCATCTAAATAGATAGTTTTCTAACTGTTGTTAAACCGAGTTTATCTTCTCCCCAATCAGCCAACTCTGTATGGTACATAAACATGAATTATAGTCTACTAGGAAAAAAAGTGCATTATCGATACTTTATAATAGTAAAATGTCAACAACAAAAAATTTTTTACATAAAATTCTCATTGTGGCAAAAAGTCGTTATAATTTGTTACTTATTTAATGAGTAAACATGTTTATCTTAAATACTTTAATCTTATTTATCAATTTAGAATACACTTGACAAAGGCACACATTAACATATGGGAGTTATAATGAAATATTGAAATACATAAATATGAACTTTTGAGGTAAAATAATAATTCTCATAACTTTAATCATAATTTTTTCCTAATACAGCTATATAAAAAAAACAATCTTCATCTAAATTTTTATAATCCTAATTATAAATTATAATTGCAAACAACACACCCAAAAGACAAGCATTTATTTCTTTATTTGTCCATTATTCTGCATAAATGACTGATTATATGTAATTTTCTAAAAATTATGCAAGCTCATTTTCGCTATATTACCGCTTATTTTATTGATACATTCTTAATGATCAAACATTTACGTTTGAATAAATATTCCGATATGAAAACATTTTTAACTAACCAAAACTTTTTCAACTGTAGAATTATTTAACAATTTTTTCGAACAATTACTTAAAAAGTGAGACTTAGGTATTTTCGCTCAATTACTTGATGTCTGTTGTAAATATTTTTTTGGAAGAGTAGAGTTAAAAATGAATTAGAAAATCCATTCTCTATTCATTCCCTCCAACCTTTATGGAACGGAAAATGTTAACATTTATGCAATATTTTTGAAATTAGTTAGCCAGAAATAAATACAATAAATATGTAAGATTAATATCGAAATTTTCTTTTTAACCAAAAAATTATTAAAAATCATTAATCTGTCCGAGAGATGACTCTCTCACACGCAGCTATTAGTAATATTATAATTATAACCGTCGTCGAACAACCAACACAATTCTGGGTTTACGACTACCAATGTTCAACTCCGTATCCTTGTAATTTTGATCCCTATCCAGAAGACAAGGGAGCTCCTTTATCAGTAACCCCAAAGGTATTGATTTGTTATGGGAACATGAAGGACTTTGTGATCTGACAAATTGAACGTGTATCAGTCACCATTTACAGCACGGGGTGTCTTCAGACTGCGGAGATCGAACTCACGACCTCTTCGACATAAGCCCAGTGCCCGACCAACCTGGCTATACCGGCAGCGATATTCCACTTTGACTAACTCTGGGGCACTCCAATTGGCACTGTTTGGCGTGCGAATTCTTAACACGCCAAATCAATGAATTTCACGCTTTCTCGAATCGTACGAGATTAAACTTCAACCGCTATTATATATTTTTTTTTATACGAGTGCAAGTAGTGTTTGTTTATTTAATGATCNTCTCTCACACGCAGCTATTAGTAATATTATAATTATAACCGTTGTTGAACAGCCGACACAATTCTGGGTTTACGACTACCAATGTTCAACTCCGTATCCTAGTAATTTTGATCCCAATCCAGAAGACAAGGGAACTCCTGGATCAGTACCCCCAGAGGTATTGGTTTGTTATGGGAACATGGAGAACTTTGTGACCCGACAAATTGAACGTGTATCAGTCACCATTTACTACACGGGGAGTTTCCGGCCAGCGGGGATCGAACCCACGACCTCTTCGACATGAGCCCTGTGCCCTACCAACCTAGCTATCCCGGCCCCAGCTATTAATAATAAATCAAAAACAAAGCAGAGCAATGCTTATTAAAGAAATAGGCAATAGTATACATTAAATGTAGACTACACAGAATTTTTAGCAAGCCTCATATCATATTTGCATCATCATCGATTTCAGCGACACCTGTGCTTTGCCTTTCATAACTGTCATCGTGTGACTAAGTTGAGACGTGAATATGTTACATTCTTGTCACACGGTGACGTCACTGCGACAATTACATGTCTCATTGTGGTCTCATGTTGACATCTGGGTGACGTCAAAATATGATGCGTCAAAAGTGGGTATAGTAAT